GAAAGAGTTCTGCTTTTATTGAAGTCAAAGGTGAAGGCCCAGGGTTTCAAGGGCTGACTATTGGTGAATTTAAAAGAGTGGGAATTTAAAGCATGGGAAGAGAAAAAAACAAGTGGACCAGTGATCAGTCATCTGTAACTTATGGAAATCAGCTAAGATCTCTAAAGCAAAGGTGCAGGTGTGGGCGTGTGGAGGACGGGGGATGGGGGAAGCGCGGGCTCCTTCAGTAGCTGGCAATGTGTTTATTGAGAGAGCCATTTTTGAAGTGTCTCTATGAAGTGGATGCCTCTGCAATCAAAGCTTAAGTTCTGCACTTGCATTACAAATAAAAAAGCAAAAACAAAACAAAACAAAACAGAACAAAAAACCCAAACTGTCAAGCGTTTTATGAGCACTGGAAAATTTTGATATGTTACAGATTTGTCTTTAGTTTAAGTCATAAACTATTTAAAGCTATCTTGCTTATATTAATATCCTGCTTTTCCACTGATACCTTTATTTTTTCCAAATCCTCCCATTTTGATACTACTCAGTCACTATATGTTATCCATAATTAACAACTAATTAAAATTGTAATGAAAATATACTGCAATGTCAAAAATATAATTATTTAAATGTTAAACTGGGACAGAAAAACGAGAATGCAATACTCAAATATTCAGGACTTAAAATATATTCAGAGTCTTCAAAAAGTATTAGCATTCTGAAACCATTGGTCTAGAATTGCAGCAGGTTTTAACATTCTTAGAAAAAATAAGCATTCTTAGTTAATGAAATAATTTTCAGAGACAAAAGTATCATTAATTTACCTTGAATAAAGAATGAAAGAACATAGCAAGTCTTTATTCTTAATGAGAGTCAAAGCTTGAAGCTAATCCTTGCTTTTAGACTAATTATGTCTCACTTACGGCAAGTTAAACCGTAAAAATTAACAAGAGTAGGGAAATGCATCCAATGACCATTAATATCTTTAATTACTCTGGTTACACCTGAGAGCTCATTCTTCCTTGCTATTAGGTTTTTCATGAGGAATACAGGTTTGAAAGATTTGTCACTCTATTGTTATCTTAGGGAAAAAAACCCCAGATGTTCACATGTTCACATAAAGTATTTTCAACAGAATTAGATCGAGAAAGCTTTACTGCTTTTTTGATTTAATTTTTCAGAAGAGTATCTTCTTTTATATTTTTGTGATTTTTAAAGCAATAGCTCCTTTAAGTTTCAAGCATTTTACTATTCACTTACCAAATGATGTGAATATTTGCAACATCTTTTGCATAAAATATACAATCTGTTATTTTTATGGAAAAAGGCAGAATAATTAGAAATGTAATCAAGGACAGTGCATAAGATTATCTACTCTTCATTTTCTATCCAGCTAAATAGGCATTTAAATGTTAAGTCATATAAAACCTCAGAAGGTTTGCCACACAATTTCCATTTGAAACCTTCTAAAACATAGATATAAATAAAGCAAGATTTCTATTTATGTATATTTGCACTCATTTATTTATATATTCTGTGATTCAGATACTTGGCATCCTACTTCCATTTTTTCATTTATTTTAATGTTTCTTTTCTATTTTCTGAATTTTTTTCTTTTGCGCTGCTTTCCATGAATTTTTTTTTTTTTTATCGTTACTACTACTCAACTATTTTATTCTAGAGATTTGTGTAACCTAGTGTGTTATTTCTTTTAGATATTGGGTAGTATCTATATTTAATATTTCCAAAAAGCTCTTTTTTGTGCTTTCTTGTTTTTTTCAGTGCATTCTGAATACTTCCCTTATCTTCTTGAGTGTATTTAAAACATTTAGCTTGAATTCTTAGTTTACCTATTTCAGAAATTCTGCTTCACACTGCACATGTGCTCCAAAGCATGGTTTTTCTTTTTAGTAGCTCTATATCTCATATTTCAGTGTTATTTTAGCTTCTTAGCTTATTTTATCTGGGTTGTTAGCTACTCTGTGTGGCAATGTGTATGGGAAAAGAGCAAACAACAACAATAACAACAACGAAACAAAACAAAACAAAAAACAAGGCAGCAGCAGCAGTCCTGGGAAAAAAGAGAAAGATCCAGGGTAGAGAATCTTGGACCCAGAATTCTGCTGAGGGTTCTCAGGTAGGTGGGATTTGTAAGAACTCCATCATTTCTGATTCCTTCAACTCCTCATTTCCGCAGGGCTTTAGACTGTACCGATGTTACCATGATGACATAGAGATCTGAGTTGTTGCTAAGGGCTCCCAGGATGAAGAAGAGGGAGGTGATACTCCAAAGGAAGAGTGAGAGAAAGCAAAAGAGTAGAATTTACAGATGTCCTTCAGCCTACCCTCTTAGGCACCCTACTGCTGCCCTGACCCAGCCAACAGCAAATATTCTACCTCATGACAAAGACCAAAGACCAAGATAGTCCCTTCTCATTTACACATTGAGCCAGCTCCACTAAAACTTCCTTTGAAGTTGGTCATTTGGAAATTCTTTCTTTACCATAAACCTTCCCTGTAGTAATGCATACATTTTCCACCTTTGTCACCAGATGGTAGAATGCATGTATACATTTGTTAACGTCAGAGCAGAATGAGGTACACTTCTAATACTACTTCACATCACCTAGTTATACCGAGATTTTTATATCTAATTAATTTTCTAAAAAATATAATAATAAGAGAATCCTGTGCTGAAATATATTCTGGTTCTCTCCTCACCATCTTTCTCTGTCTCTGTCTCTGTCTTTCTACATACATACAGACACTCACACATTCATACACACCAAATATACCCATGTATATCTTTATACATATTTATATAAGCCTACATGGTTTTTAAATTATTTTTAAAAATTGACAACAATAGCAAATATAAAGAAGAAAAGTCAGTCTGCAGTTAAGGGAATGTAAGCCAATAGTAAAAAAAGTCAACTCAATTATCTAGTAATTATTACTAACAGCAAAAATAAAGCCATGTTTAACCTTGATCACTACTAAGTAAAATGTCTGATTCCCACAAAGAAAGTGATTCTAATTTTCTGGGAACTCTAGGTCAGTCTTGAACAATTCAGGGTCAGATTTTAAAAGCAGGTACTGGCAACTCATTGAATACCAAACTATTTTGAATAGCAATATAAGTGGAGTTGAAGAAAAAGAACACCCTAAATCATGAACAAAGGGATATATATATTTTTTAATCTTCTTCTTTTCAGGTACTCATTCTTTTTTCATTCCTGATTATTCTTACTATGATATTAGTAGATATCAATGGATTTAAATGGTTAAAAAGATGAAATAGTAATAGTGATGATAATGATCATGATCATAGTAATTGATAGTGACATTACGATTTATAATAAGAAATATAAATTTGTTTTTTCCATGGTTACTGACTCACAGCTCCTAAAACCTTGGAATTTCCTAAGTGCTTTTGGACTGCACCTAAGGATGGGGACTGGTTGCCAGGGGAACTGACCATGTAACTAGAGGGTTGGAACTTTTAGTTCCATTCCTTTGACCTTTAGGGAAGGGAGAGAGGCTGGAGGCTGAATTAACTGCCAAATGGTGAATAATTTAATCAATCATGCCTAAGTAATGAAGCTTCTATAAAAATCCAAAAGGAAAGCGTTCAGAGAGCTTCTGGATTGGTGACCACATGGAGATTTAGAGAGAGGGGCACACTCGGAGAGCATAGAAGCTCCACGCCCTTTCTCCATACCTTGCCCTATGCATCACTTCCATCCTGCTGTTAACCGAGTTATAGCCTTTTATAATAAACTGGCAATCTAATAAATAAAATGTTTCTTTGACTTCTGTGAGCCACTCTAGCAAATTAATTGAAGGAAGTATTTATTAGAACCTTCAATCTGCAGCTGGTAGGTCAGAAGCACAGGTGATAACCTGGGCTTGTGACTGGTGTCTGAAGTCAGAGTGGGAGACAGTCTCATAAGACTTCAATACAATACTGAAGTTGCTTACAATTGATTATACACCCTGTTCAGTGCTTTGTGTGCATCACCTCATGATCACCAAATAAACTGTTATATAAATAGCACCGACATGCTTTTTATTATAAAAGAGCTTCAGAAATATAAAATAACTTTCTTATATTTACTCAGCTAAGCAGTGGTAGAGGTGAAATTGAAAAAAGGAGTGAGCAATGAGGAATGATATTAGTTTCATGTTTGGATATATTACATGCTAGATATGTTTTTGGAAAAAGCGTGTATGTTATTTTAATTGGAATCATCACCAAAATCCTGCAGATAAGGAGACTTGCAGAAGTTAAAGAGCTTGCTCAAATTCACAGAACTCGTAGATGGTCCACTAAGAATTTAAAAACAGAATAATCTTATTCTGGAGTGCATGCTAGGTATGCATCCACTTAGGGAGTTTTTGGTTTAGTAGAGTATTTTGGGGTGGGAGAGGGAAACTCTCACTCAAGGTTCAATGTTGAGCCATAAGAAAGACATCACAAGCGTGCTGAGATGAGGGCATCAGTGACTTAGCTCGTACTCCCTCCTTCTCATCCCAACTATGCATCCTTTGTCTGTGACATTTCCCATACTTATAGATACTCTAACTTTGAACATACTCTTTCAGAAGTTATAGCCTTCTTCTTACTGGATCTTAGATACCATATGCATAAAATATTGGAATAATCATAAATTCATGCTTTGATTCCTCCAACTACTAGCTGTGTAAAAACAAGCGAGAAACTTACCTTCTCTGAGTCATTAATTTTCAGTAAAAAAAAAAAAAAGTGTAGTTTTATTGTGAGGATCTGAGATAATAGTATGTGTGAACACTTCTATTCTGTTCTAAATACCATCATTTTGTGACCAGGCTATGAAACAATCCAGATTACATGTGATAGGTCAAGACAGAAATGGGATTGAAATCAGGAGCACCTAGTCATCTGGGTCAGGCGTGGAGGAGAAAGAGCAACATGCTGAATGCTGAAAATATGTCTGTTCTTTTATGTAACATCTGATGTCCGGAGAGCCAGACATTAGGATACCTTGCAGGTGAGCAGTGAGTGTTGCCATGGCATGGCAGAGAAGAACCAACAAGCTTATCCTTCTAAGAGGGCAGAACAGATAACAGTGAATCCATTAACAAGAAACAATCCCGTGCCTAGGAAAGGCAACAGTCATCATTAGAAAGACTGTCTTCAGGAAGCGGATGTCCCGAATGATAGACAGGGCTGAGTTTCTGAAGCAAAACTCCACATTCTAATCCAAGTATTACCTTGCAAATGAAAGGCAAGCTGTCAGTTTATATAGGGGCTGGGATCCCAGGTAATTAACCTAGATGGAGGCTGTATTAATCATGTTTCTAGCTTCTGTAAACTCGATGCTTTAACATCTACCTTACACATATATGTAGACAAGCCTCATTATGAACAACCCAATAATATGCTTGTCATCCTATCTTAACCTCCTGTCTCCCCTATTGCTGCTCCCTCCCTAACCCTCTGAAAAAAATTCCTCCTTCTGTCGGAATGCTTTTCAAATACAGAGTACAAATTACAGAGCCACCCCTTGTATCAGGTTACTCACACTCCAGGTTACTATGCACCCATCCTAATCACCCCCAGGGCCAGATACCAGACTACTAGGGGCAGTCTCTATGCCCCAGAGCCCACTGACATCATTTACTCTGGCCAACCCTAAGACGGCACCCAGCCTCACCCATTCCTTCCCACATAAACCACAATAAAGGCCCACAGTTCCCCTGCCTCCCTCTGCCTTGAGTCCAGCACAATGCCTACCTCTGTGGTTCCTGTTACATGTCATACCACTGGTCTTGAGAACTGAGAAATAAACTATCACTTTAATAACAGTTGTTTCTGTTGGGCTTACTGTATCTCAAATTTTCTATTCAATATACTATATTTTAAAACAGATTCTAGTTCTGGAAACAAGGTAAAAGATCCAGTCCTCATTTGTTGCATAATGTGGGTCAGAGCAATTAGGTACAAGTCTAATTTTCAGCACTGCTATCATGAGCACCATCCTTCCTGCCTATGGTGAATATTGTGAGAACTGAAAAGTGGGAGTCAAGAGAAAAAATCTGGAAAGAATTTTGATTCTTAAACTCTGGGGTATATCAGAATCACCTGTGGAACTGATTAAATAGGTAGATGCTGTGGACTCACCTGACAGACTCCTACTCAGTAGATGAAGCCTGTGGCTTAGGGATCTGAACAGTTTAACTTAGTTCAAGGTTACTTACACCCCACAATTCAAGAGCCACTGATGTAAGTTGAGGCCTGACACAGCCTTCCTGCCCCACTCTTGCCTTTGGCTTTTTATTCTTAAATGAGGGTTGGGAATTAGAAGACCCCTAAGAATCAAAGAAAACAAAAATATTTTGGGGGGAATAAATGCTGACCAAATATTTTTATGATCTTGGTGCCTGGATTTTCTTCATTGTATATTCATTTCTATGTTTAACATGTGTTTTTGTTTCATAGTGATTTTTTAAAGGAAATAATTAACAATATCCCAGCCCCAAAGCAAAGGACACAAAAAGGAAACACACTTACAGTAGCCTGTTGTTTTTCTGCTTTCTCAGATGCCTCTTTAAGTTGATTTTGCAGGGCCTCCTGGAGAGACTTCATTTGTTCTCTAGTAGAAAATAGAGAGGAAAAGAGAGAAAGACATAATAAAATTCTGTTATTTCCTATGTACATTACGAAAGGATGTTTTGCTTTCTGCGTACATTTAGGAAACAGATAACTAGAATTGAATCGAGACACAGCTAAGCATACAGGGTATATCTCAGGATTCTGGTAATAAGGGTTTTTTTCTCTCCTATGCCAGTACTAAAAGCATTCTGTATTTAAAGGAAATTGCCTTGCTATTGTGTCTTATACGAATCCCACTGTGTGAATCATCTGTGAGCTGCATAATGTGTCAAATCAAATCAATATAATAATTAGAGTTGAAAAGCTAATTTTAGTGACAGCATGCCAGAGTATGAACATGCTGGTTAGGAGAAAGTTACCATAGACTGCTGATAGGATAAAATTATTGTTGCCTTTGGATTCTCTTAATTGACTAATTCTAAAGCATTGTGCTTTAGACACCCTTCATAAAGCCTGGTACTTTTTTATAAAAACAAAGAGAAAGGAAACTTATTTCTAACTTGAAGAATGCCTTATTTATTGGGAGTAATAAAAGAAAAACTTGTCTGCACATATATACACATTGTGTCTCAAGCTCACAAATATATATGGACCCTGTCCACTTCTTAAAAATATAAATATTTCCATAAATATGCATTCCTCTCAACGGTTTACTCGTTTATGACAAATCACATTATTTTCTGTGACTTAATTTTATCACCTAAGCTATCACTTCAGAAAGTTCAGATTATCAGATAAGGGTTAGTGTATCAGTGAGTATGTGTGTGTATTGATTCTGGCTAGAGGAATAAACTCTTTTGAACTAAAAGCAACTACTAAATAAAAACATTTCTAGTCTTATCAGCACCCAAACTAATTTAAAATCCCCCATCTAGTGCCAAAAGTCTCCTTCTGGAACCTTGGTGCGTAACCACAACATAGGGGCTAGGGGATAGGAGAGTACCCTCTCAGGTTCATTTTTTTTTAATCTGTAAAATGGGGACAACGATAGAACTACCTCATAGGTTTGTACTGAGGTTTAGATGATATAATGCATGCAAAATGCTTAGTATACTGCCTGAAATAGTCACTTAATAAATATGAGATTACTGTCACAGTCCCCGGCACTACTGCAGGTCCCTGTGTTCATTCTTTGACCACCACCTCCTGCATCACCACGAGCTGTTCTTTCATCCAGCGGGATTAAATATGGCTCAAATTTCTTACTCTAGAAAATCTTAAGTCCCAATTTTAATTTCAGAAATATCAATAAGAATCTGTATGATTGTTGGAATCGATTGGGGCTTTGTCAAAGCAAAATGTAATCTAAATAAATTGATTACAAAACAAAATAATTACAGTCACTTTGGTTAGATGATTTATGCTTGCTTCGGTGAAGCATATAAAACGCTTTTGCTTAAAGTGGATTTTAAGTTTCAGCTTTCATTTCTTCCTCAAACAGGTTTTATTTTTCAGAATTGTTTTGTATGTGGACATTTAAAATTTGGACTTCCATTATCGTTTTTGATATTTTCTACAAAGAGCATTCATGGCATAATATAATATAATGATAATATGTACATATATTGTAGGCTTACAGTGTAATAGGCACTCTTACAAGCTTTGAATCAAATATGAAATTATATTAAATACAGAAAACTGATACATAGAGAAATGGTAAAATTGTGTTCTGGAGCTTATGTGCTCAAACTCCAGAGAGTTATTATACTACCTTTATTGCGAGAGAAAGAAAGAGAGAGAGAGAGAGAGAGAGAAAAGAAAGAAGGCTCTATGTGCTATTCCTAACACTCAAATCTTCAAAATACAATCAAACTCTTATATTACCAATTGATAAAAAGTTATAGTAAAATCTTATAATAATTATTTTAATATTTTTGGATTTGAAAATTTTGTATTTATTTTTTTAGTTTTTAAATGATCCATACATATAAAATATTACAGATTTTATAAAAATGAGCACATGTCTGTATTCAAAAATTCCCACATACTGACATTTATAGGCAATGTAGGGAGAAAGACAAAAATAAACTGTAAAAGCTGTTAACAAAAACTGGAGAAGGCAGAGAATTCGGTACATTTTTTTCTGTATAAGAAATGCTATCGTCCAGTGGTGATGTGGGACTTTTTAATCTTCTGATTTTCTCCATCTCCTTCTGCCTCCCAGGCTTATTTCTGCAAATTCTCACTGCTCTCATGCTTTAAGTGCCTCCAAATTTCTGCCTCACAGACATGCTAAGTTATATTCCTATGAGAAATGATTCCTGACTTGCTCATAAAATGCTCTTTCCACCAGCTGAAATTTCTAGACTGTGACTAGCTACTCCAGGGCCATATTTGATACTGAACCGAAACTTAATTCTAAAGAACTGATGGCTCCAATGACATCTGTGATAAGTTGTTCAGATGTTGAGTACATTTTATCATATAATTTCATGGTTATAGGAATTTTAAAAGACAGTTGTTTCACACATCTTCCACCCCAAATTATAAACAAGAAAACACACACCTGAATCACTACGGGAAGATTTTTTTTTTTTCAAATAGTTTCCAGTTTGTATTGTAATAACATCACACAGAGAACTTGCTACTACCCCCAACCATTTGTTTATTTTTAGAGAACATTATATTTTAAAACCTGTTAGTACACATAGTCCAAAACTGCCTTTTAGGTATCTCTACCCTCCAACCACTATAAAGAATAAAATGCTTTATTATCTTTTCTCAAGACAGTCTTTCAGGTACTTTAGGATACTCTTCTATCCCCCAGAGTCTCTATTACGTGGTTACACACTCTCACTCCTAGCATAGTAAGGTTTAAAACTCTCTGTGGAGACTCCTCTGTCTAAATACTTCTGAAATGGTAACACTCAAGAGTCAACAACTTTCTCTCTCTCTCTCTCTGTCTCTCTCTCTCTCTCCACTCTGTTCCCCCATACACACATACAAAAACATTCACATGCACATACACACTCCTTTCTTTGTCTCTCTTGGCAGAAAGGAACTCTCCGCTCTCTCCGTGTAGTTGCATAAGGCCACCTCATATCCCCTGAGTTAACTTACAGCCTAGTTCCAATGACGCAGAAACCAATTAGTTGCCTCTTGGCTATAATTCCAAGAGGGAAATTCTAATTGATTTAGTTTTGTTTCAGTAGCTGTCTCTGAGCCAATTAACTGTGGCCAGTGATGTCAGAGTCACATAAAAGAAGCATGACTTCTTGGGCCTACTTTTCCAGGTAAAGGGCTGGGTGGCAAGGCTTCCAGAAGACCAAGGGTTGATGAGAGCCGAGTGTATTAGGCAAATGGTATCTAAAACACATTTTCAGACTCATTTTTTTTTTAATATTTCTAAATTTGCAATCAGTTAATATTTTTTTATATTCAAAAATCATATTTTTCTCTTTTACTCTTTATTAATATCTATCTCTTATTTTGGAAATAAGATACAGAGCCATCTTCATATTCAGAAAACTATGATTTTTATATATTTCTAAGTAAACAATAAAAACTAATATATAAAATGTCATATCCTTTTGAGAAATTACTTATTGTTAGAATTTATCGAATTTCACATTCTGACTTTGTGTACATTATACAAGCTATGCATTTTAAACAAGTTTTCTAATTTTGGATAAAACTTTGAAATCACAATACCAAAATATCTGGTCCATGTAATTCTTTCACTGAAAGACTTGGTCCATCACTTGGTAGTCTGAATATGTACCAAATGTATAAATGATGATTAAGAAGTTCTTAATAAACCCAACCACATTTTTTCCTGGTTTGCCTGGGTATTTTGTGTGTCATGTAGAAACAGCCAATGATAATTTATGACAATATCAGCAAACTAAAGGAATAGGCTTTTTCTTATCAATATCATGTATAAGCCCATCGCCTCATCTGTGTCTCTCCTTCAATGAGAAAAGGCAGACTTTATTGCACTGTCACTCCATGGTCCTCACTGCTGCGTTCTCCCTGTACTCATCCCTAAGCCATTTTCCCTTCACTTGGTCTATGTCTCTTTCTTTATGTCCTGCACAATGTTTTTAGAATAATCTCCCTAAAATACTTCTTTAATTTATATCATCCTCCTGTAGAGCTACCTAAAATAGGTTCCCTCCAATCTTTAAAAAGTTTTTATCTCTAATCTATGTATACAGATTAATTTTCTGTTCTTCCCTGATTTCCTCTGTCTTCTTAGTCACTGCAATTCTCTCGGCGGTGCCGCACATGCAGAGGTCACTTCTATTTGTATATTTTTGTTTATTATCCTATCCCACCATGGAATGCATTGTAAAAAGTAATAGTTTTTAGTGTCTCTTTATCTATTTTGACTAGTCGTGCCTATTCAAAATCCTGTTTGTAATTCTCCAACACTAATTCAATGAACCACAAATAGTTGTGTAATATTGAGCATAGGTGGCTAATTTCAAACCAATGATATAATTTAAAATTATATAAGCTCTTTTTAATATTGGATTGAAAAAGAATTTCATGTTCAAGAAATAATAATTTTATTTTAATAATAAAAATATTCACTATAGGACTCTGGTCTTGATATTTTTAACATGTCATAAATGCAATCCAAATATATGCTAATGAGAGCTTTCTAAGTCAAGAGGCAAGAATACTAGAGAAGATACAGAATGGTGAGAAAGGACTACATATGTGTGTAAACGTTTAAGTCTCATATATTCAAGTGTAAGTAAGAAGATAAAAAAATGTATGGCATTTAGATTGAAGTGATTTTTGTGAAATTTCTGAATGGAGTTTGGCACTATGGGAAAAAAAAGAACTGAGAAAATAAAAAGAAAACGCAGTCTTACCTTTGTTTCTGACTTATTTCTAGAAGAGTCTGAACATTAGTTTTGGCCGATTTCTCTTCATTTTTCAAAGACTGATAAGAAAAAAGGGGAAAAGGAAGTCTTATTCAAGTGATAAATTGAGGCTCACTTGACTTTCATCTCTCTGGCCTTTGGTGTGACCGTATTTATGCCCTGAAACAATAATGTGCAGATAAGGCCATGATGGCCCTCACGGTTCTAAGGATGCACTCAGAAACTTACGATACCAGGTAGTGTGTGTACTACACAGCAGGAGAAGGAGAAAGAGCTGAGTCTGGGTCTTTAGAGGTTTGATGGATAGAAACATGCCCTCCAAATATCTAGGTCTTTTAATAAGTGAATATAAAATATGTTTTCTGCTCTTTGTTGGAAGTTTTACTGTGTTCTCTGCAGGCATGTCAAACCAGCTCTGGCATGATTTCTACAAATACAAGGGGACATAAAAGGCATCCCTAAATAAGCTAAGTAACAATACAATTCAAGATCAAAGCAGCCAAAAAGCATTTACCTGTTGGGTCTTATCTTTTTATTATTTATGTACATTAGAATATACAGAAGAACTAAGGTCATAAAAAATGATGAAATTGTACAGACATTGTATTAAGTTAAAAACAATACCACCAAAGTCATTAGTGTTTATTTACTCTGTCAAATTCAGCATTCATAGACTATGAATTAAAACAGAAAAGTCCACTGTGTTTTCTAATTAGAGAATCTGTTCCATTATGCCTTCCCTAAGAATTTTCTTATTTATACTCAATAAACTATTTTTAACAGGGTAAACTATTTTCTTGGTATTAAAAATGGAAACTGAAAGGTAGCGATAGTGTTTATAGGAAGAGAATCTGTGACAGGTAAGGAATTGATAATAGCAAGAATAGCAAAGCATTTTATTTACTTAATATTAATTTAACAAATATTTGTCATAAATTATACCAAGTCTCATGCAAAGGCACGGTGTCTGCCTTCACAAATTTTCCAATCTAATGCTAAAAACACAATTTTCGATAAGCACTCTGATAGGGATGTGATGGACTGAACTTCATACAAAAAACTTCTTCCCTAAATGACTGACTGAGGTCATTATTAGGAAACTGCCAATAAAAGCTGCTCTGCTTATTTGGAAAGAGTAATTTCATATAAAACACACACACACACACACACACAAAAGCAGAACAAGTAATTACAGTGGGGAAAAGTCACCAATCCTAATATTTACAGTTCAAAGTGCATCATGGTTATATGACCTATGACCTCACACAGGTCACAAAATCTGTCTTTTGACTTCCTTATGTGAGAAACAGGAATGAGAATTTTGAAGAGCTACTTTATTTTTTTCTGTTTTTTTGAAATATAATAGACAATTAGTTGCTTGTATTTACCTTGTACAATTCAATGAGTTTTTTTCCCCTGATAGTTGGCATACAATAATATCCCAGTTTCAGTTGTATAGCATAGTGATCAGAGATCCACATAACTCACAAAGTGATCACCCCACTAAATCTAGTACACCTCTTCCTCCTTACATATTTATTAAAACATTACTACTATCTTCCCCATGCTATACTTTACATCTCCATGTCCATTCTGCAACTATCCATTCATACCTCTTAATCCCTTTGCCTCTTTTTTTGTCCCCTCAACCCTCCTCCCATCTGGTATTTGTTAATTTTGTACTTTAGATTTCACATGTATGTGAAATCATGCGATGGACCCACTAGGTCCATCAAGGCGATATCTTTTTCCATCCCCTTCCTTTTAGTCTGTGTGTGTCTTTTAATCCAAAGTGAGTCTCTTGTAGGTAGGATATGTAGGGGTATTGCTTTTCTTATCCATTCAGCCACTCTATCTTTTGGTTGGAGCACTTAATTCTTTTCCATTTGAGGTATGTGTTGATAGGAATGTAGTTATTACCATTCTTTATTCCTGTTTTTGAAATATGTTTTTTTTTGAAGAACCTACTTTAGACAGTTAATGGGAAACTCAAAGGGGATAATAGATGTGTAAAAAAGCACTTGATGAAAAGTACAATAAAAATACGCTTATTCATTTATTGACCATATGCTATACTCTGGACATTTTAAAGGAAACCAAGATAAAGAAGGTAGAGGATTGTCCTCAAGAAATTAAAAAAAAAAAAAAACAAAAAACATGTGATGCAGAAATGAAAAAGGTAGATATACACATGGGGATCAGCAAGGCTTATCTCATTAGAAGAGCTGGAGGTACTTGACTATTATTTCCCCAGAAATATCCAGGGAAATATCCAGAGTATACATCTAGGAAAATACTCTTGGTTCTTTTAAGGATACCAAAAGTCGACAAACCTGCTAATGAATCAACATAATGTTTGTTGATTGACCTGTATCCCAGTCGGGTGCTATGATTACAGAGATAAACAAGACTTTAAACCTTCTATTTCATGAAGTCCTTTCGAAAAAAATATGTACAACTATATTATTATTCACTATGTGTTTGAAACCTAGAATGATTAGATGAATGATCTTATCATCTTAATTTTGTGAAGAGGTTGTTAGGAAGGTTTAATAAGATACGAAATAAAAACCACCTTGCACAATGGCTGGCACAAAATAAACAAGAGACATCTTAAAAATTGCAACTACATTTATTGGTGGAATTGTTACCCTTTCAAAAAATGTAACTCCATGAAATTACACATTTTTTTCAAGCAATTTTCTAAACTGTAATTAGGTATCTTAATTTAGGCTACTGGTACAGAGAAATTGAGTGTCCTGAGAATATTGTTAACACTCACCACTCATAGTCATTTCACCGTATGCTTGAAATATTCTCAAAGTGCCATGTGTGCCATACCTCTAAGAAGATGCAGTTGTCTTGAATATTCTTTGCAGCCTCTTGTAACTGGTGAATTTCTCCTTAATGATAAGGTGGCACCTCAGGCATCAGATTCCTGTGGAAATCGCTGTACTTTCTTTTTCATCCTAGTTAGTGCTTCCCTAATGTTCTGCAAATACTTCTATCATAATACTTTTATTCCTGCACAATTATCCTGCTAGTGGTCTCTGTGGTCTATTGGAATGTGAATAATTTTTTTTTTTCGCTCTTATTTTTATGTTCTCGAGATGTAACAAAACTTTTGGAATAAGAGCTTGGGCATTAGGTTTAAAAAGCAGCTCTGCTGCCTAACTCTGTGCTCTTGATAGTTTCTTAACTTTTGTCTAACTCTGTTTTCTCACATACAAAATGAAACTGATAATAACCACAGCATAGCCATTACGTGAAAATTAAATAAAATTGTAGAAAGAATACCTAACACAAGACATTGACCGTGTTCCATAAGCTGTATGGATTACTGACACCGTCATCATCATCACTGTTATCATCATCCTCATCCTCATGGCAATAGAAAGCCAAAGACAACAGTGACTCCAAATGGTTCAGAAACATGGTTCAGTGCAAAAACTAATAAACAGTCTTTGTAGCAAGATTGCTTGCATTTCATATATGGCTTCCCTTGTGATATCAAAATAACTCATCTTTTCGAAGGATGATTCCTCAGGTGTAACAAAAAAAATCATGTTAAATAGTATCTACCTCATACGTATATTATGAAATTTAAATTCTATAAAACAGCCAAAGTTTTAGTACACAGTATATACTCAATAAATACAATGTCTAAGTCAAATATTAAAATATATTATCAGATATTTCAGAAAATTCTTCTCATCATATATAAATCTCATCTTGGTTTTTGATTGAGATTTCACTGAATGTTAACACATGTTTACAGATGACTCTCTCCTTTCTAAGGCATTTGCCGATTTTAGGAATGAGGTTTATTAAAGAATCTTCAGAAATATTCTTTAAAATTCCTTTCTAGAGATCATTCCTATATTCATTTAACTCTTGGTCATAATTACTTTTTCTCACTTCATAATATAAAAAACACGAGGGTTGATTGATCTCAGAGATTGTGAGAAATTGATGGCTTTGCCAAACACATAATTTTTTTGTTCCCGAATTTACAAACCACAGATTCCCAGAGTTTATTTCAATGACATTTCTTTCCAAATCTAATATAATTATAAATAATTACTTATATGGTCAAACCAAGAAAAAAAAATCAAAACTGATTTTTAAAAATGCGGAAGTCTTTACATATTCATCCATCAAGACAAACCAGGTGACTCCTCATCCTTTGTTTCTGGGAAAATTAATTTTCATCTCACCTGAAGGTTGCCTTTAATTCCATCAAGTTCTTTTGAGTTCTTTGTCAGCTGTTGGAGGATGGTGCTTCGCTCCTTAAAGATTTCTTTCAGCTGCTTTTCTAGATCTTCATGGTCCTGTCTAACACAGAAAAGAAAGGCCATGAGAACCCCAAATTCTTCCATTTGGCTTCAGCCACTTTAATCGTAATCATAAGCCCTTGAATTTAAAGAAATATCTAGATTAATTGAAACCTTAACTGCTAGGGTGTTTTATTCTTATTCCTTCATTGAAAAGAGAAAAATTGAAAAACCAAAAATTTTATAACAAAGATTTCATTTTACTTTGAGGACTATCCAGGCTACAGATCGGTTCCAGTATAATACTGTATATCTTCTACATGTAGAACACAGTTTATCAGGTACTTCTTGGAAAATAGATATTTTCATGACATTGCCACACCTTTTTCCAAGGTCCTTGAAGTTTCACAGCAAGAGGTATGATTTGAACCAATGTATCTCAAAGACATAGGTTCTGACATGGGGATGAGTAGGAATCTTGGGAGTAGAGCCAGAACAGATTGTAGGAGCCTTGCTTCATCACTGGTTTGTAGGGAAGGAAGCC